CACAGTTTGATGAACTTGCCGTCCACATCATGCTCCTCGATCTCAATATCGCAGTCCGAATTGGATTTTATCTGGAATTATAGCCCTTCGCTGAGGCAGACTGAGCCACCGATTCCTGACGATGCAGGAATGGAAGGCCAAAAGGCACCAGGAGAAAAAAGAGACAAATAGCGAAGCGCGCCAGCGTAGCCGCTGTGGTGCGTTTTGCGCAATTCCTCCAGCGGATGCTTGTTTACGAAAGATATAACTGTTTTACACTTTCGTATATGGAAAAACAACAGATATGCTGCCTGGCCCCTAAAGTGAGGAATTTCCCATTGGAAACTTCACGTGCCGGCACGTGAAAGCTGAATTTGAAAACAAGGAGGGGGGACATCCCTCCAAATTTCAACTCTGTAATATCTCGGCTTGCGAGCTAGCGACTTTCACGTCGCAACTCTCACGTGGTCGGGAGGCATACCCATAAAATTTTCAGCCCCCTAGCCTCCGCTGTTCTTGAGATGATTTTGCGCACTAAAAATTTACTAGGCCCTGCGTGTTACCCGCAGATGCGGGAAAGTTGCGCTTAAGTTATTTGGGTCGCAAGTGGGCAGAGGACATACCTATAAAATTTCAGCCTCCCAGTTTCCGTGGTTCCCGAGATATTGATTTTACTCGGAAAGCTTATACGGAGTCGTACATGTTACCGCGAGTACAGGAAGGTTGAATTTAAATTTGCCGCGTCACCCGTTGGTGGGGGACGCTGTACTGAAATTTCAGCCGTCTAGCTTTCGTGGTCCCGAGTTGAAAGTGTGGAACAAAATGTGGGACACACACAAAGCACACATACAGACAACCCCGTGACAATGTGCGTTTTGTACCGCTTTTACACAGCACAAAGCGCATAAAAGGCAATACTTTGTATTTCTTGGCAATGTTCTGGTAAGAGAGACTGCCGTCGGATGCGATGAAGCGCTCTCCTTTGACTGCTCGACGACATCCAAAAACGATCGCCAGGTGCTGCTGATGGCTATCGCGAGATGTTCCATCTAAATTTCCGAAGGCATTACTGACAGTAAAGACCCAGCATCTGGGTTCACTCTTTTGCTTATATACCTCCGCAGAGCAAAAAAGAAAATACTAGCAGGAATTTTCTTTTATTTGCAGTAAGAAATTTATCAGAAATATTCCCGAGAAGCAATAAATGTGATGCAGCGATTTCACGCGCTCAAGCAGATTCCGGCAAGCTTTCAGTTCGGTGTTAAGCTGAACTCCCAGGTCGAATTTATCTTGATTCTCATTTAGCAGGCGGCCAATTTCTTCTTGCAGCTCCACAACTCGTTTATCGCGCTGGCTGAGGCGCAGATCGTAATCATCGCGAGTAAGGCGCAGCTTAAATGTCCTGCGATAAAGTAAGGCAAAGAAACATTTCAAAATTTCACCAGCATTTCGCTCAATAACTACTGTAACTGTGTATTACAGGCACCAATTTCGGAGTTTCACTGCATGTATATTGTCTCTTCCTTCTTCCCCTGCATGTATTCTGTCTGTCTCAGACGACCATAAAATCTGCTTTGTCAGAAAGCAAGAATAAACTTGCCTAAGAATACGCCGTCGACTCGTGACTGCATAACACTTAGTGAAAAAAATTGTACAGTCACAGGAATGAATGAACAAATAACTAACCTGACTCTCAAAATCGGAAATCTTCCTGTTCAGTGCCTCGATCCGGCTCTCATAACCACTGCCAGCCTTTTCCAGCTCGTGGACGCGAAGTCGCATGCGTGCCGTCTCCTCCTGCGCCTGATTCATCTGCTGAAGCGTTTCGTTTGCTTCGTCCAGCTTGTTCTGTAGCAATTTCAGCTTAAACTGGGCCTATGACAAAACATGAGCTCGAAACGAAGGCAGCTGCGGCAAGTACTGCACGCCTTGTACGCTACAATGTTTTATTATTAAAGTTTGAAAAACCCCCGCTTAAAAAGACGCTTCAGCCCCGCTTTCACTTCGCAAAAAATGCTCAGAATCATCTGCAAACGTCATAGCTCTTGAGAATTCC